GAGTTAACTTATATTAATTACAATAAAACTGTGTGTATGTAAGTGTTGCCATGTATTTCTAAAAGTTTTTTTCTAGAACATAATAGTTTACTTTGTTTTTACATTATCTCTTTGGCATTTTTGCCTATACATATTATGTACTGTTAAAGATTTCAGTGTAATGTTACAGAATGTAAAAGAAAAATTATTACTTTCAGTTTAAAGTTCTTTTTTCCCTTCTTGCTTTTTGTTATAGCTTGGAAGCACTGAGTCCATATGAGAATGAGTTTTTTGTTTTTGACCCCTACTAGAAATATCCAGTCTCTACAGCCAGAGGTTCTCAATCTTGTTTCCTTAGTAATACCCACGTGGGCTGGGGAAATGGATCATATCCTCAATGGCATATGTGGGCCAGACACACATTCTCATGGACTGGGATTGTACATTTTTCCTGCTTACTTGTGCCCTTCATCCCCCTCCCCCGCCTTCTCCTTTGGAAAAAGGTTGTTAGCCAAAGTTTGGTACCTTATATTGGTAACAGATTATTTGTGACATACTGCACAACTGATCGCAGTACCTCTCGTCTAAGCCACCGAATACCCAAGAAGCTCATCAGAGGCTCTCTAGGATGGGATTGGATATGGGCATGATAGAGGAAACCATTTGCCTTGTAGGTAGATGTTCCGCTTTGCTTTAATTTTGAAGAAGTATGGTTTGGTTTTCTTTGATGGGGTGGCATTTAGAGTTTAGGCAGGAAGAATAGCTTAGAGAAAGAATATCTTCTCTGAAGAACCACTGCATGTTTGAATGATACTCCCTGGAATTTCAAGTTCAGAGCACTTGGCCAAGTTTGAGAATTTTAATTGAAATTCATGCAGATTTAAACTCCTTTGGAGTGGTTGGCCCTTACATTTTATTTTAATCCCTTCTATACTTTTCCATCCACACCTGACTATACCTTCCCTTTGCCTCCCCAGCCACCCCTATGTATTGGGAAGCTTGTGCCTCCCAACAGGTATTAATGGTTCATTTATAAAAGTCTTCCCAGTCCAAATGCAATTCAGAAATTCAGGTCTTTTTTTTAATAGGCTCTATTTCAGTATAATGGTTCTTTTTTAAAATAGTAAATGTTTGATAACACAGCTAAGATTCTACATTTATTTTAATCTGCTGTTTCCAGGGAAACAGTGGTAGGAGAAGGTAAATCATTCGGTAGTTCTTGGAGAAAGGGTTAACCTTTTCTCCTCAGGGTATGTGTTATTTTAGTTTACACAGGAAAGACTTTTAAAGGAGGTGACTTTTAAGCTGAAGATCAAATGAAGTTAGACTGTTCATGCAAAGAGCTTATATACCTAAGATGCCTTAAGGCTTGAAGCAGAAATGGCACAGTTGGTCAAGAGAATAGTGGAAAATGTGAGCAGGATAGTGGACGAGTTAAGAAGGACCTGGCATAATTTGGGATAATTAGGAGTTTCATGGTGTGACTTAAACATTGTATGTATCTTAATTTGAAAATGGCTTTCTCTTATAGACACAGATGACACAAGTTTGTTGGGAAAGAAAGATGATGGACTACAGTATCGACCAGATGTGAAAGGTACTGAATCATGATTTTCTAAATTGTGGCCAATTATTGACATATGGTCACTAGATGTCTTTAGTAATTCCATTTCCATTATAACAGCTCCTTCAACTTTGCTCTCTGTAGTAGTATACATAATGTAGTTGATTATTGGTATTAATATTAACTGAAACAGCTAGGGTATGTCTCAGTTTATAGCAAGCTCTTGGATATGCTTTTTTTTATTAAAATTTTTATTGAGATAATTGTAGATTCACACGCAGTTATAAGAAATTATACAGAAAGATCCCTCAAAAATGCTTTTATAAAATCCTCTTTACTGCTCTAGAGTCTACTGTTAAAATGTTAACATTTGCCCTCTGTGCTCAGGTCTTCGAGCCTTGTTCCCTCTGCCTGGAACTCTTTATTTCCTTGTTGGACTAATTCCTTCTCATCCGTTTAGTCTCAGCTTAGAAGTCATTTCCTTTTGGGAAGCATTCCGTGACCTTTAAATCTAGATGAGGTGCTTCTCTTACATACTCCGCTCTCTGAGCACTTAGCCTACTCTTTTACAATTGTCATTTTGCTCATTTGTATCCCCCTCTAGGCTGAGTTCTGTGAGGACAGGAGACTGTGTCTGTCATGTTCACTGTGTATCCCTAACACCTAGCAGAAAACGTGGCACATAAGTAGGTGCTCCGTACTTGTACAAAGAATGGATGTGGCTCAGAGAAGCTGTAGGATTTATTTGCACAAAGTCTCACGTCTAGTAAAGATCAGAGCAGATAACTGGATTTCAGGTCCCTTGACTCAAGTCCATTTCTCTTCATGCTTGTTTTCACATCCATTATTTTATTTGATTCTTGTAACTACCTGATAGATATGGACCAGTGGAAATATTGAGGATCAATGAGGTTATATTTGGTTAACCAAAACAAGTCTAGATCTTTGGCTTCTAGACCCAGTACTTCCATGTAATTGCTCTTTTTTTTTTTTT